TTTTTTTTTTTTTTTTTTTTTGGGACAATTCGGGTGTCCAAAACAGCTTTTATACATTTTAAATTTAATTTTTTGCATCAGCTTCAAACATTCAAAAACACTATTTTTTTTTGAGTGTTAGTGTTAATGTTTAATCTTTAAATTTAATTTATAAAATAATATTTATTTATTAATAAATTTAATTTTTTAAATTAGTAATCATGTAAGTTTTAAGAGTAATGATAATGATTATGTACATTTTAAAACTACATAAAATTATTATTATTATTTAGTTAATGATACAATTTTTAGTTCAATTTTTATTTTAAAATTAATTATTTTATAACAAAATTTAAAGACATTATTTTCAAATATCATTTTTATATTGATTGTGAGCAGCATCAGACTTCACTAAAGTTTGAGATGTTTTAATTCTTTCAATGGATTGATAAAAAAAAAAAAAAATTATATTATGGTTAAGAAAATCACATCTCCTTTTTCTTGATATGTTCGATTAATTGTGTGGTGCCATAGAATTAAAGTAAAAAAAACGATCATTCTTTTTCCCAAATCATTTTCTGTCTATCTTGCCCTGGGATTTGAGGTGTTAAATTTGAAGTCTCAAATGACTTCATCAAAACTCAACTTCAAGAAAAACAGATGGTTGGGTTAGATTTGTAGGGCTTCCTAAGGGGATTAGACATTAGAACGGGACCATCCGGTAGGGGTCACCGAGATGCTGCAATAGCAAACGGAGAGGCCACACGAATTGTTGTGCAAATATGGTACCAAAGAGCACTCTCCGTAAATCTAATTGAAGACTGGCAATGTCTTAAATGTGGGGAGGTGGGGGTCCATTGTAGAAACAAGAAAATCAACCAAATTGACCTCCTCCAAGAAAAGTTGTGGGCAATATTGCTTGCTTGTCTTCCTCAACCCTACATTGATGTCTCCTTAGACGCCGATTAGTCAAGACGTCCAACCCAATTCCTTGAGCTTTCTTTGCCCAATACGATGTATGGTACAATGGTTTTCATAATAAATTCTGTACGTTTCCATCAATCCAAGTCTGCTGTGTTAAATGATCTATTTCTTTCTCTAGCTAGTGACCAATATGCACAATTTTAGAACCAATGGATCTATATCTTGACTTGGAATTTTCAAAAAAGGGACAAGAGATGCAAAGGAGACATGGGTCCAATACAAAGTTGATTCCATCTATATGGCCAGCTTTCTAGCTCCCATTTCATCAATTTTTGTCTCTTCTAATGGAATTCGTTGCCTATAACTCTTGGATAGATTTGATCATAAGCTATATACAATATAAATAGCATTTTTTTGACAAATTTTTTATTAATAATTTTAAAATTCAAAAATTAGATATTTAATTTAAAAGTTTGAAACTTTAATCTTTAAAACATTAATTAACATTTCAACCTTTTTTTTATCATACTTTTTTACTCTCTTTTTTTTTTTAATTCCTTTTTTTTTTTCACCTTCGAAACTCAAGAATGTTAACCTCAAGTTGGGACCATTAAATTATTTATGCATGATAGCATATGAATAGCTAGTAATTGACATCACGATTGACGCTAGAAAGAGATAGAAATTAAAGAATCTGATTAAGTTATAAACTAATCATATTTTAAAGTGAAGATCTAGTGATCTAGCCTCGGAGATAGACTAGAGGACAAGAAGGAAAAAGGGCAAAAATCAATATTTAGTCCCTTATCTTACAAAATTGGTAGGTTTTAACCCTTCATCTTATAATATGACATTTTTAGGCCTTTACTTTACAAATTTGATAGGCTTTAGCCCTTCACTTTACAAAATTGATAGGTTTTAACTCATCACTTTATATTATGACATTTTAACCCCTCACCTATATGAATTGAAGAAAATAACTCTCACATAATATTAGGTTATAACATTTTATTAGTTCTGTTAACTGACTGTTAACACCCGTTAGTATTTTGTTATTAAAAACATGAAATTTAAATTCAATTTTATTCGTTAGTTCCATTAGTGGAATACTAACAAATACTAACGGATACTAACAGTCAATTAACAGAACTGACAGTTAATTAACAGAACTATCAGAACATTATAATTTCATATTAAGTGAGAGTTATTTTCTTCAATTCGTATAAATAATGGATTAAAAGTGTCATAATATAAGGTGAGGGGCTAAAACCTATCAATTTTATAAGGTGAAGGGTTAAAACCTACCAACTTTATAAGGTAAAGGGCTAAAAGTGTCTTATTATAAGATTAGGGGTTAAAACCTACTAATTTTATAAGGTGAGGGACTAAAGGTTGGTTTTAACCAAGAAAAAAGAAGCGAAATTGACACAGATGATCGAGTGGTGGTTATATAATATTGTTGGATGATTAATTACACAAATGCCTAGAAGAATAATATCATTTTTTGGTAGGCCAAGGATCTAATCTAACCTACCCATAATCTCCACATAAATAAATAAAGTGTGGTTTGCTAGGGTTAATTTGTTGAAATAATAATGTAAGGATAAACCTTAATTGAATGAAATTTTCATTTAATTAGAAGGTACATGATTAACAAGATTCTTTTTAAATATAAAGACTGATATTGTTGAAAGTGTTAGCGTGATTGAATCTACGAGGTTCACACATTATGAAGCAAAAGCTTTCGGTGTTGGGATCTTTTTACAAAAAGAAGATATAGGGGTAGTTCTCTAATGGTTTGAGAGATAGAACTTTCCATACATGTTGATGATTTCTAATTAGTGGGTGTAAATTGATTAAAATTTTATTTTTATGGGTGCAAAAGGTAAAAGTTATATCTAAATTTAAAGCTATTTCTAAATATTTTTGTTTAGGTCTGTTAGGGGTGAGTTGAGACTCTTACCCTCATATTGATTTCATTATTGTTTTTGAATTAGAAATTTTAAATTTCAATATCAATTAATAAATAAAGAATTAAAAAAGGGGGGGGGGGGGTGGTAAAATCTTAATTTATGAGTTAAAATCTTCTGTATCATTTAGGTGTATCAATTTCATATTCCGCTTACTCGTCATTTTTATTGCTGGAACATAGAAATGGTATAATTCCGATCATATACATAAAGAATAAAACAAGAGGAGGTGATGATCACACCCGTAGGTCGTCTGGTAAATCATTACGGATTAAAGTAAGATAGACCTCCCTCGTGTGGTTATCTTTTATTCAAACTGAATGGATGGGGATAAAATAAAGCTAAGGTTGAGCATCTAGCTCTTTTCAGCGTGCCTATGATAAGGACGCGAATAAAGTGTTTGGAACGCAAGTTTCCAGTGATAGCTTTTCCCTTTGCTTTACAAAGAACAAATCCAGCTTAGCACACGGGATACAGAAGAGATGTAAAGCCAAAAGGGTCACATAAAGAAAAATCAAAGATCATATCTCTAAGGCAACTTGGATTCTACCCCTACACTCAATTAGTTTGATGCCCCTTTTAAAATCGAACAGCTTTACCATGTATCTTTATCCTGGAGCGGATTGATTCTAGTTTAAGTTTAGAACCATTCGTGGGGCAAAGAATCTGCTATCAAAATCAAATGAGAGTTTTAGAATTATGTCCTTTATGTTTTTATTATAATAGGGGACAATCCACCCATCTGGCTGTGGCGTGGTGTGTTGAGTACTGGGAAGACAATCTTAAGGCTACAAGGCTGCTTACTGCTCAGAGCAGTGCAGGTTACTTCTTAGGCGGCCTAGCTTATGCTTTCATTGCAAGGTCAAATCATGGCAACACCACTGCCAACTTGTAATCCAACTTGCAATGTCAAAAGTATGTGATGAGGGTTTTGGACTTCGGAATGAACAGAAGAGAATTTGGGATTAGTAGGTTTCTTATGTTATTTTTTCAGAATTATTTTCAACTAAAAATGACCTGGCATTAACATCAAGTGAAGTCTTTTCAAGTTTCGACATATAATAAACATGTGGGACAACCATGTTGTCCAATAGAAAGGCATATCTCGACTTTAATTCATTTATCTCAAAGGAGAGTTGTCCGAGCCTCTTTAATTGGCTGTGTAACTCATAAGCACACAAATTTCCTGCCTCCACGCGTCTCTATTTCCTTAGCAAGGCTCCTAGAATTCCTCACTCAAGCCTTAAAATGCCTACCTATTTTGATAAAGAAGACATTCTCAGGAGATAAGGCTATATATCCTCTGCAGAATCATAGTTCATTTGAATCAGTATTATGACACAAGAAAAGCACTTAGCAGATGACCAAGTAAGAAAGAATACCCTGGATGAAATTGTACAACTGCTAATATAGATGTATATCTACAGGGGAAATTGGTGGGTCTGGATTCAAATACCAAAGATGAAGGGTATTATCATATTAAGGATGAAATTCTTTTCAAGATACAAGAAAATTTAAAATTTCATTTACAATATTACAACCGGACATTACTAACAACTAGAACCCCTCGCCCTCAATATTTTAGTAGAGCTAGACTGGATGTTGCAAGCAAATCACAAAAGCTTGCACGCAGGTGGGGAAGGACCTGCCTGCAATCTTTGTGGCAATATAAATTATCCATCAGTGTCTGGATCGGCTTCTCACCCTGCAAGTTAAGAGTTCAAAATCAGACTTCAGATTGAAATAACCAGGGACCACAGATGAATTCTAGGGAATAGGCACCTAGGTGAGCGCGAATAAGATCGTGAACGGGAACGAGAATGAGAGTGGGACCGCGAATGAGAACGTGAACGGGAACCAGAACGAGAATGAGAATAGTATCTTCGAGTCCTACTCCTACGTGGGCTTCTGCTTTTCCTGTATCTTCTGCATTAAGCATATCATCCACAAGATAGAAGAGTTATCTCCATGACAAAAATAACAAACTAATTGGCAATCAGAGAACATATATATAAAAGCACATCAGAAAGACCATACTCACATGAGTAACTGCTTAAAAAGATAAATAGAGAAAGCAAGGCAGGCATCTAAGGATTCATTGATCATGACGTAAAACTGAGATTTTGATTATAATAGCTAACCACCTTACTTATAGCAAGACTTCAAGTGATGAGTTCTGTATAAACAACACAGGGAGTATTGTTCCTGAATAGAAAAACATCCAAGGATCTCCCTTCAATTCCCCTCACAATAAATTCAGACTATCTTACAGTCACAAACTGTAAAACCTAAACAACTAAGCTGAATGATTTAAGAGGGAAATAACAAAAAGGGAGTTACTGAATACTCTAACTGATTTGAAAGCAGATAGTAGAATTTCTACTCAATTTAACAAAAATAAATGGATTCCTTCCCATATAAATCATAACAAAGAAATTTCAAATGACCAGTAGATGCATGACTTTGAAATTCTGAAGAAAAGAATTTTCCACCGAATAGTTGTCATGCCTGTATATTTAATCAAAATGAAAGAAACAGGTAAAATTACTACCTAGGAGGAGAGCGACTGTTGCTCCTGCTGCGGCTGCGATGCTGGTTACGACCTAATCGGCTTGTTTCTGCAAGTTTTTCCAGTCTTTGGCGCTCTTGCTCTCTTTTCTTGGCCATCTCAGCAGCAGTATCCTTTTTTACTGCAGAAAAATTAATTAGATAAGTCCTAAATATGAAAAGCACAACCCCCTCAAAAAAAAAAAAATAAAATAGTGAGTAGAAGAAGATGATCTAATTTTCTCTGAGACTGCAGTAGCAATGAAGACAAATTGTTGGACGAACAGCTTCAGAACTAAATCAAATATCATTTAAGGCATACTCTGTTTGTTTAACTGTTTATTCATAATCCTTTTCAATCGTTCCTGAGGAGTTTCTTTCTTCTCCCCTTGTGGCTGTTTGAAGGGAGCCCCAGAAGAGCTTGCTTTAGACAACTTCACTAATGTTGACGATGTGCTGTTATAAAGGAGATAAAAAACATCACAATCCATGAAAAGTATTAACAAAGCATTTTAACTAGATAAGACCATTTAACTGGACAGAACAACCTGAAGCATAGAACAGATACTAGAGGTCTCAATTCAGACCCTTAAAGAATACCTTACTGCTTGTTTCAATACTTTGTTGCTCTTGTCTTTATCCAGAGATACACCAGAAGCAGGATCAACATGCAGTGCTTCAAGAATGCGACCAGATGACGGCCTGCAGGAAACATAAAGTTTTAGAGATGGCCCATTTCATGGTTGCAAGCAACTTGGAAGGCATTTGATTCATGTAAGTTCCATTTCAGGGAAAATAAGCTTCAAAAAGAGAAACTTCCTTCCCACTCCCTGTTGCTAGTTATGCTGATAACCTAGGCCTGATCTATTCTAAACCACAAAACTTTCCCTCAGGCAACAAAATGGGCATAAGCTGGAGCAGAGTAAAGACTGTCCAATTTATCTTTGCAAGAATTAAAGGTTGAGTGCTCCGACCGGTTCAATATATCAGCCTGGGATCGTGGAGATGGTGGTGGAGAAAACCGTTCAAGCTTTGGTCCTTCCCCAGCGCCAGAACCCCCAAACTCAGTAATATACTCAATTTTAGGAGTCTTTGGTTTACTTCTGTGAGCATCATCAGAATACCCTCCACGACCATGACGTCTTGAGTATGACGGGGAGTATGAACGTGATCTGGATCTTGACCTGTATACAAAATTATTGCTGAATTACTTACTGCAAGTTCTTCAATGGCAAACCACTAAATTATTTACAGCAACTCCTTCCATGGCACACCATCAAAGAAGCATGCTTCAAAGCCCATAGGTCATACCTCCTTGAACGTGGATAAGCCTCGTAAGTTGGACTTCGCCTAGACTCACTGCACATCAAGAGGGAGAGCACCATTATTGATGCAATAGCATAATTTTTATGTAGAATTTCTGATAGAAAGCTTCTTAAATACTGTACCGATATGGATCATTATGAAGTGGTCGTGTTCCAGTTATTCGAGCAGCTTCTCTTTCTCTCTCCCTATCTATTTGAGAGGCTTTTCTTCTTTCCTTGCGGCTTAGTTTCCTCTATCAATTCAGAATTCAAGATTCATTCACACACAGTCTAAGCATTTCAATGACAAACAAGGAAAAATTTAATACAAGTAATTATTGTGCACTTACAATTGAGGGATCACCCTTAATCATTTCCTTCTGTCTTTTCTCCTCCTCTTTTGCCTTTTTCTCCATGTAAACAAGCCAACCATACCTTTTTATACCATAATCTTTTGCTATTATATCCATTCCTTCATCATTGCTATCATCACTGTTGAACTCATCTTCATCGTCCTCCTCATCACCATCATCGTCCTCATCATCCTCAGCATCTGAAACTTGTGTTTCCTCTTTTCCATTTCCATCATAGGAGAATCCAACCTGTGAATATAAACCCTTGCTTGCAGGTTGTGCTGGCTGAGATCTACTAGAGAAGCATGAAAAATAGACAAAATGATGAACATGATTGTAAAATCCAAAGAAAAATAGACAAAACGATAAATATGATTGTAACAGACACAATGAGGAAGGAAAATGGCATGAAGGTAGCAGAACAGAGACAGTGCAACAAACTTTTTTCCACCAAGGAGTAAACATGCCAAAGAAACCAATATGAAGCAGAGAATGCACAGTTACACAACATGTCATCTAGCACATCTACATCATAACATCCAAACTGTCATCAAAAAGTATATTTTTCTTGCTTTCTAGTTAGTATATTGGCATGTGTCACATCTCAGAAGAAAAATAAACCTAAAAAAAGGCGCATGTCTATGATGCAATCCATGTTGTTTCTATCGGTTTCCAATCAAATTTCACTTCTAAAATACAATATTTTCACATGTAGAGAAGCTTAGTTTGTGATATAAGAAGGGCCCCATAGGACACTATCAGATATAAATTTCAACTTGAGTAGGGACAATACATATAACTCACTAACAATCTTAATTACATGCAAATGGAGGGGGATATTTACATATTGAGCAAAGCCAGAAAACTATTTAAAAATGAAAAATTCAAACCTGTTAGAAATAAATGGTGCAATAGCTTTTGTCTCCATCTCTTGGTTCACATGTTGCAAACCCTCCTCATCCGTAACTGTTCAGAGTTGAGACAAATCTTAGCTCATTAAGCTCATCTAAGAAGCAACCACTATTCTAATTATTGATTTCTATAGCGCAAGAATCGCATCTTGTATTGCTTTCACATGAAGTATATACAAGGGAATCAAGAACATATATTCAAAATGAACAGAAAATTGACATTTATCAAAGATTAAAAAAGTACCGACATCCTCTACGTCGATGCTTAATTAAATCCCGGTAACGCTCAAAATTAACAAACTCGTCTAGTTCTTCATCTTCTTCTGAATTTTCCTCAGCTCGAAAACGTCGGGACCCAGACTCCCTTATAAAATCAAGAAGAGCACGTCCATCAAATCTGCATGAGCAAAGAGAGATGATCCCATAATCAGTCAATACTCAATGGCCTATATTAAATAATATTATAGTGACAAAGACAATAGCCTGAGAGAGTACCTGTCAATCAAAACATCCTGTTTCCCATTCCAAGGAATCCTGCAAAACAAGGCCAAAGACCAAACCAAAGTTACATAAAATTACATATATTTAGTAACAAGGCGCAACTTAATATGCTAGTTGGTAAATCTTCCAAAACTAAATCTAGACATCACTTCGATGAGCATTGAGGATGACATTGACATAACTAAAGTTGAACTATCAAAGCTTTGTTTATCTATACACAATTACACATGAAAATAAACGTGCATTTTCATTCCATAATCATATGAAATCAGGTGCAGCAATGGTCAATTCTGATGCAACTCTCAAAAACTACTAGAATTGCGATGAAAATGGAATTACAGTAAATAAACCATTGATGGTACGGAAAGCTGGGAGATATAGCAAGCTTACAAGCCTTGCTCGTCCTGGGTGGCATGGTAAAGAGCATCATCGCGATGGATGCGGCAGCGAGATCCGATGAGCTGAATTGATTGCTGAGGATCACCGCGCCTCTTCGCCAAGAAGATAGCCCTCCTCTGCGCTCTCTTCCGAGCTGCATCCATCATGTCATGCACCTTCCTCTCCGATCTCCGAGCCTCGTGCCACATCTTCGACGACACCACCGTTGTTCCTTCCGAGCTTCTTGTATCGAACAACTGCAATTGGTTATCGAAACCCTAATCCAACAGCGCGCCAAGAGGAATCGAGGACCAGTGGAGACGAGGATTTTACATTTTCGTCGAAAGGCCCGCCTGAAATAACATCTAGAACCCTCTTAATAATTTGGGCTGGCTTTGATCTTATGAGTCTGGGCTGAGAGACTTTTTTTCAAGTTCACGACAACAGTCAAGCCCACCTAATACTCGTCCTATTTTCTACTCTTACCAGGGAACGGGCATGGAGTTGTCCCTGTAGCTCGAACCCTACGGTCTGGTCTCCCGGAAATAGCCAGATGACTAACTGCATATTTGGTAAAATTTATGAGTGTTTTAGTTTTTTAATATTATATATATTTTATAAGTTTAATTTTTTTTAAAAAAATTTATATTTTTTAATTTTTTTTAACATTAAAAAGACTTTAAAAAGTAAATTTTAAAAAGTTTCAAACTTCTGTTTTTCATAAATTTCATTTTTATTCATTTCTTACTCATTTTTTTTATTTTTAAAAATAACTTTAAATTTTTTTTTTAATATAAATTTAAACTTATCATTCATAAATAGTATAAAAAAAAGTAAAATCTCCGAGAAGCTCTACCAAACAAACCCTAAAGAAATGAGAAACTTATGAGGGTAATAAATTATAAAAATATTATAGTTATAATATCATATAAAATTATAAATTTATAATTATAATATGATATTAAATAAATATGATGTGTCATTTGATGAATAAATAAATATAAATCATAATAAACTCTTAAAAAAATTAATTATATAATTAACATATCATATTATATGTTTATAATGACATATTACGTTATATTAATATCATTTTCGAATGAATTATATTAAGGATATTAGTCTCTTTCTTTTTTATTTTTTATTTTTTTACAGTGAATGATATTAGTCTTGAAGAAGATAATCGAGAAATAACTTGATGAAGGTTTTGCCTCGATCTACTACTTGGGCTTCAAAAGAATTTTAATTAGTATTGTAATAAATTGGAATACTCTTTGTACTTTTTTTAATATATATTTCTTTTGCTGTGCAGAAAAAAAAAAAGGGGGAAACAACTAGATCATTCAAACCAAAAAAATTTATGTTAATGCATTGTAAAGTGCGAACCTATCACATGTTTGAGGCAGCAAAATGGCACCCACATTAAATGATGCTGCCCAAAACGATCAATTTTGAATAAATCATGTCGAACAAAGGCCCCATCCGCAACTTTGAGAAATGCAAATCATTCAAAACTGCCCCTGTTTTCATGATAAGTTCTCAAGAAACTATAATCATCTTTCAAAAAAAAAAGTGTTGTGCAGTTTAAATAACATAAATTAAACAATTAGATAAATGATGAGTTCTTTAATATTAAGTATCATTCATAATTTTATTTTACAATACAAACAAAAAATGAATCCTCTCATCAAATAGTTCTTATTTTATAATATGATACAATGCAAACCGTTAAACAAAAAACTCAAATCCTAAAGCAAAGAAACATGGTTGTTACCACAACCTGCATTATGTGAGATATGTCATGATTGATCATGGATGTTAAGGACCTCTTCAACCATTTTCATTTTAATTCTTCAAGTTTAAACTTCACGAATCATACTTGAGCGGACAGACAATTGGGTTTATGTTTCACTAATCAAGTTTCTTTGCCGGCCGGCAATCACGGATTTATAAAAACATTTAACAATTGGTAAACTTTTTTTTGTTTTTTGAACAGGTATAAATTTGGAGAGGAGGAATTTAAACCCAATACTTAAGATTAAAGGTGCTTTTTTTTCTTTAAGATTTATCATCAATTGATGTTATAGGCCGGTGAAACAATTGGTAAACCTTAAACATTTTTGTGAACAACAAAGTTAATTACTAAATTTAAAATGTCTATTTGCGCTGACGCAGAGCCGCCATTGCCTCTTCTACGGTTCTACCCCACACGTCCCAACTAGATGAGCTTCGTTGCTAAGTATACATATCTATTTTTCTATTATTCGTTATTATAGATGAGGCTGCCCTTTCATCTTCGATCAGCAGCTTGACCTAAAATGTGTTTTACGTCATTTTTTAGGTATTTTAAAGTAAAATAGTAAAGTTAATGACTTTGTACCAATTAGTGCTTGGTTAGTTGGTATTCGATACGTCAATTTTTCTTGAGATCAAATAATTAAATAACTTGAGCGGCCGAAAAAAAGAATTACTAAGTTAAAGGGCATTTGTTGTTATATAAGAGTGAAAATTGAGTACAACTTTGGATATTTAAATTACAAAAGGCATATACAGTTTGAGTATAATAAAATGGCAGAAAGAAAAGCGAGAATGAGAGAAAGCAAACCTACGAGCCGACAATTTTATATTGGCAGGGGACCGACGCATTCTCATGGTATATGCTAGGCATAATTGGCTAGTGGCCATTGTGGGAAATTAGGTTCCTTTTATTGATTGATGTGACCTACAATCAACCAACGGCCGCACTCAGTTTTTTTTTTTTTTTTTTTTTTTTTTAATATTATAATTATAATATTATGTATAAAATTATAAATTTATCATTATAATGTATTATTAAATAAATATAATATATTATTAAATAAATATATTTATATAAAATATTACAAATTAATTTTAAGTGATAAGCTGCATCTTAGATAGCAAATGTAAAATTTAATTGAATACTTTCCAATTAACTTGCAGAGAAAAGATGATGATGATGAATTGGGCTTTCTCCTTTTCCCTTTTTCTTCTATGCGGAAATGATTAAAATGATCATCCACTCCGAAATTCTTAAATTTTCAAATGAACTTATTCGGAATTTCCAAGCTTTTGATTATTAATTTGAAGGAAGGTGAATGCACTATCCAAGACCGTGCTACTCTTTTTGACTTGAATCAATTTTGGCAGACCAAACCTACAATGGAGAATGTTCTATTCAGACTCTAACTACGTAAGATGCTAAGAAATGAGATATTGACCACATACAGAGATGTCCATGGTCTGAATGAAAACTTTATTGAGGCACGACTCATCATCTATCAAGACATTATCATTTGATAGTTGGGCCTTAATTTCAAAAGAGCCACTATCATCCAACATTTGTGTGACAAATACAAAGCTAGGGCGCATACTCATATAAGATTGATCACAATCTTTAATAAAGTCACTTTGAAACCTAGAATTTTGCAAATTCTTATAATCGAATGGTTTACAAATTAAATCAAGTTAGTACTTTGTTGGTATTGGTGCCTTGAATTTTAAGAATGTTGAAATCGGAGTCAACTCTAAGAAAGGGAGAGTTAACTCCATCTGTTCAAGAGCACAAGAAATTGAAGTCGAGCAAGGGAGAGTTGACTCTCTCCTGTGCTACTAAACCCCACCAACTTAAAAATTAAAACTTATTTTTACACTAGAATAGAAAGATACTTCTATTTATTTAGGTTTTGAGATGAGTGACATCATTTACCCAATTAGAGCATTGTTATAATGCAGTGGGTGTGAAGAAGTATAGATAAATCTTGATAGAGGTTTTGGAGATAATTTTAAAACTTCAATTGGGGGTAAGGTTCTTATAGGAGATTGTTGCTATATTATTGTAACTCTTCTTCTAATTAGTAGATTTCTTCTATCCTTATCCTTAGTCATAGACAAAGTTAGTTGAAATATATGAACATGTGAGTGGAGTTAAGAGATGTGCACAAGATTCCACATCAAAGAGAAATAAGGTGTTAAAGTGAAATATATACATATATATATATACATATGGGAAGTTCAATAACTTAATAGGCATGTGTTTCGAGTTCAATAGGGTGTGTCTCCTCATATTTGTTTGTGTTCTCTCATGTGTGTGCTCCTAAACTAGCTCATTAGACTCTCTCAACAAGTGGTATTAGAGTTAATGGTTCAATCTTGGTTGCAATCAAGAGTTCAAGGATGAGTTCAATAGAATTGTGAGTGTGAAGAAGTTTATGGCATGGTAAAGACTCCATGGAAGTGATTTCATGGCAGAAATTGAAGATATAATATCTTCAATGGTAGAAGACACTTGAAGTCTTTAGGTTTGAAATAGTTAACACTTACAAGATAGAGATTCGTATGTTCATGAGAGAGAATGTTGAAGTATTATGAACATGGTAGACATCAAAGAGAAACAAAATATTAGAGTGGAATATATATGTAGGAGACCCATCAACTTGATAGTTTTTTGGATTCAATATAACATCTCCTCATATGTGTTCATGTGCTCTCTCATACAAGTGCTCCCGAGCTAGCCTGCTAAACTCTCCCAACAAAGTCTTCTTGTTTTAAGGAGAAAAAGTTGAACCATGTAAATTTTGTATCATACCTTCATATTTATTTTAGTTTATTACTTAAGTCTTTAAAATAATACCTATTTTTATATTCTTTTTCATTAAATTGGTGTATGGATTAGAGCAGATGATGCGAAATATGACATTCTCCCATCTGACCAACTTGGCATTCAAACAACAAAATTTTCAACCCCAATTCAAGAATATTGTCACTAGCTCATGAAATTTCATTTTTTAAATATAGACACTGGTTGGTATACAATTCTTATTTAATATATTGCACAATACTCTTTAAAAAATACTATTTTTTAATATGAAATTAAAAGTAGACAAATTTAATAAATTTAAAAATGTGATCACGTATACAAAATGGATAATGATTGGTACATATTTTGGTTTAACATACAGCACAACACACTCATTAAAAAATCACCATTTCTTAATTTATAATTAAAAGTAAACAAGTTTAAAGATACAATCATACACAAAGGATGTAGGAACTAGCTGAATTGACTGTATTTATATTATATTTTTAATGGTTTGACCAAAAGTGTGTCAGAAAACGTGTGTCAGAAGATGTGTGTCAGAAGATGTGTTGAACGGAGGATATACAAATCATTTTCCATACAAAATATATGAAC